ATTTATTAGAGCATAAGCTTTCGTGGACTGCAGCCCTCTTTTTCATATGCATCCGAAGAAGTGGGCTGCAGTCCACGAAAGCTTATGCTCTAATAAATTTGTTAGTCTCTAAGGTGCCACAAGTACTCCTGTTCTTGTTATGGTGGAGGTCTATTATAGACCACCAAATCAAGAAAAGGAAGTGAATGGGGCATTCAAAAGCAGGTAACAAGATTAGCTAACACACATAAGCTAGTATTAATGGGGAAATGTAACTTCTCCGATATCTGTTGGAAGACTATTACAGCAAAGCATAATTTGTGCTGCAAGTTCTCAGCTTGTGTAGGGGACAATTTTCTGATTCAGAAAGTTGAGGAAACAACAGGGGGTCATCCATTTTGGATCTGGTGTTGACCAACAGGGATAAATTAATGCAAATGTGAAGGTGGTCAGGAACTTGGGAGGAAGTGATCATGATCTGATGGAATTCAAGATCCTATGGAAAAGAGGACATGAAACAGCAGAACAAGGACATTGGACTTCAGAAAGGCGGATTTCAACCAACTCACAGAAATAGTAGGCATGGAAAGACCAATTAGGAAGAAAAGGAGTCGAAGGGGCTGGCAGTTCCTAAAAGATGTAATATTAGAGGCTCATCGTCAAGCAATTCCTATGCAGAGGAAAGATAAGAGCCACAGGAGGCCAATCTGGCTGCAAAAGTAGCTTTTTTAGCTATCTAAAAACCTAAAGGGATACATACAGGAAATGGAAGGAGGGGCATGTCACCAAGGAAGTATACATGGGAATAACGCAAGCGTGTTGGGACAAAATCCGGAAAGCCAAGACAAAGAATGAGTTACAGCTGGCAATAAATGTTAGACACAACAAGAAGGGGTTCTACAAATATGTCAGACAAAAACGAAAGATCATTGATGGTGTAGGCCTGCTGCTCAATGGAGAAGATGAGCTGGTAACAGAAGATGATAGGAAGGCAGAGCTGCTCAATGCCTACTTTGCTTCAGTCTTCTCACAAGAAATAATACGTGACCGGATCACTAGTGAAGTTTCCATAGGCAATAAAGAGGAAGGGATGCAGATCAGGATAAGTAAAACAACAAATCAGAGATTGTCTGACTAATTTGAACAAATTCAAGTCAACAGGGCCTGATGCTATTCACCCCAGAGTGCTGAAGGAATTAGCTGAAGAAATCTCAGAGCCACCGGCAATAATATTTGCAAACTCATGTATGACAGGAGAAGTCCTGGAAGGAGAAGGGCTAATGGAGTGCCCATCTTTAAAAAGGGGGGAAAGGAGGAGTTGGGGAAGTAAAGACCAGTCAGCCTGACCTCAATACCTGGGAAGCTATTAGAGCAATGTATAAAACATTCAATTTGGGATGAAGAAAGGGTAATCATTAGCAGCCAGCATGGATTTACAAATCATACCAAACCAGCTTGATTTCCATCTTTGACAGAGTAACTGGTTTGGTGGATGGGGGGAATGCAGTGGACCTAATATACTTGGACTTTAGCAAGGCTTTTGACATAGTCTCACATGACATTCTGATAAGTAAGCTGGAGAAATGCAGGCTCTGTGGAACTACCATTACATGGATACATAATTGGTTAAACAACCACAAACAAATAACTATCAATGGAATGGTATCAGATTGGAGGGAGGTCTCAAGTGGGGTTGCACAGGGATCTGTTTTCGGTCTGGTGTTATTTAACATCTTTATTAATGACCTGGATGTAGGAATAGAGAGCATGCTGATCAAATTTGCAAATGACACAAAGCTCAGGGGAGCGGGGGGAGGAGGTTGCAAACACTTTGGAGGATAGAGCTAAAATTCAAAGGGATCTTGATAAATTGGAGAGTTGGGCTATAGACAATAAAATGAAATTCAATAAATATAAATGTAAGGTGCTACACTTAGGGGAAAAAAACCAAATGCACAAATACAGAATGGGGGATAACTGGTTTGGCAGCAGCATTGCTGAGAAGGATCTGGGAGTTGTGGTGGATCACAACCTCAACAAGAGTCAACGGTGCGATGCTGTTGCAAAAAAAAAAAGGCAAATGCAATTTTAGGTTGCATTAATAGAGGCATAGCATGCAAGTCACGGGAGGTGATAGTACTGCTCTACTTGGCACTGGTTAGGCCGCAGCTAATTTTGGTCACCAATATATAGAAAGGATGTGAAGAAACTTGAAAGGATCCAGAGGCAAGCAACAAAGATGATCAAAGGGACAGAATGCAAGCCATATGAGCAAAGGCTGAAGAACTTGAAAAGAGGAGTTTGGAAAAGAGGTGATTAAGGGGGAACATGATAGCAGTATTCAAATACTTGAAAGGTTGCCATAAAAAAGATGGAGAAAAGTTGTTCATTGTTGCCACAGAGGGCAGGACAAGAGGCAATGGGTTCAAAGTACAGCAAAGCAGATGTAGATTAAATCTCAGGAAAAAAGTTCCTAACTGTAAGAACAATAGAACCATGGAACAGGGAGTTCATGGAAGTTCCTTCAGTAGAGGTTTTCAAAAGGAGGCTGGATAACCATCTGTCTTTGGATGGTTGAGACACAACAAATCCTGCATCTTGGGAGGAGGTTAGACTAGATGACTCTTGCAGTCCCTTCTATCCCCATGGTTCTATGATTCTATGCTGCCCCACTGTTTGGACTATTCAGGTGTGAAGAGCAGTGCACACCAAAGTGCTGCACTGTAACTCCCCTGTTTGAACATTGGGTGCATGAACTAAAAGATTCTTGGTTCACATTAAAGTAATTCATTTACTTGATAAGTTGTTCAGGTTCACAGTGATGTGACTGGGAGCAGTATCTGGTCTGTAGTATCTAGGGATAACTTTGTGGCCGTGTGGTGTTTTGCTTTGTTTTATTTACAAACCATTTCAGCCCAGCTGTGAGCTCTTCTACCTCAGAGAAAACCGTATAATTTTTAACTAGAAAATCTGTCACTCTGCAGTGAGGATCTCAAAAGAAATTAGCCATTCCTACATCTATCCTAAAGAACGAGTAAGCACGTCTAGTTTCTAAATGAACCTGATACCCCAAGAGGATATTAAAGCTTGTGGGCCTATGACAACCAAGATCATCATGAGGAAATACAGAAATTGAACTTTTGCATACACCCAGAACTTTTTTACACAGCTTTTAGTTTGAACTTAGTGTACAGCAAGACAATGTGAGGTTAATAGACATTATTCCCATACCAAGACTGTTTCTTTTAGAGAATCAATATAATTGGATAGAGCAATATATTTCTAATATCCAGTAAATGAAATTTTAACCATAGCAGTAAATAATTACCCCCAACGTGGTACATAATTCCCATGCACATGGGTAATATCATTATAGCTACTACTGTGAGCAGAGCTGGAGATTTCAAATTATGGAACAAGTTATGTGTACCTGGGTTATAGGCTAAACTACCATATTATAGTATGGGGTATTTCATAATTATTTAGTAGCTTTATAGGAAATAGTGCTAACTTAAAGTCATTCTACTTCTTTACTATGTGATCACTTACATTTATTAGAAGCAATAGTAGTTGAGGACACTCAGCACCTGGCAGGAGACATTTTCTACCTTGCAAGAATGGACCCTTGCCTGCACTATGAAAATGACCCAGTGCTGGCAATAAGTGTCAATCAAAGGTGAAAGTGAGTTCTGAACATACTTAGCTGCAAATGTGGCCAAGGACAAACACTGTTCAGCATCATTTCAGAAACCATGGCTAAGTTCACGAGTCCTGATCACTACTTCCACTCCTGTTGCTCATATTCAGGTCCAAATTCTGAAAATCTCTAAGGACCAGATCCTTAAAGGTATTTAGGGTTAACTTCACTTGAAATCAATGGGAGTTAGACACCTAAATATATTAGAGAATCTGGGCCAACCCCCTCCCAGGAGATGCTGAGAATTCTCAATTCCTCATGATATCAGCCTAAGAGCTCTATACCTCATAGGATCAGATCGTCAGTGGGCAGCTTTGGCCTTCCATCCTTTTAGCAGATGCCCAAAAGGCAAGATACAACACCAAGGAATGCTCTAAATAAGAATGAGTGAACTGTATGAGCCAGATCCTGCAAACACTTACTCATGCAAGTAGTTCCATTTAAAGCATAAGTACTGGTCTGAACGATTGGGATCTAAGCACGTGTTACCACAGGCTGGTGATAGCATTTAGAAGTTGAGAAGTAATGACTGCTTTATACCAGTGCTGCTAGGATACCTCAAGAGGAAAAAGTGGAGGGAAATTAATTCAAAGTATGAAAATGCATAGATAAGATGCACAGGTAGATAAGAATTAAAGCAACCAACCATTCCTGGGTTGAGTTATCCATGGGCAAATGTACTCATTGTTTATCTAGTTGTTGATTTTTATTCTAGAGAGAAGGTGGAAAATCAGTGGGCAGAAACAAAACATGCATTAGCATAACAAGAAACAGTACCTGAACAGTACCTTTGATGGCAGGAGGAGCGTACACACTCTGCTTCCTCTGCTTAGGGGAGGCATTCTGTGACTAGGAATAAGAGAAAGAGGTTAAATAAACATAGAAGGAAAGTGTCAAACCATGTCAGACCATTTCCTGGGGAGGTGGGGGGAATCAAGTCTGCTAGTTATCAGTTATTCAGTCTTTCTACATTGCCTCTTTTCCCAACATGGCTTGTATTGTTCACATAGCCCTGTTTTCCCTCTGAGTTCCTATTAGTTCTGCTTCAGTCAGTGGTAGACAGTCCAGACAATTATTATTTAATATGGTGGTGTGATTATTCCGGATATGCTTCACGTGTGTTACAGTAATATTTCATGTAGCACGCCCTCTTGAATAAGGCATTTGCACTTCTAATAGAGAAATATCCATGTTACTTGGAAAACAAACTGGGAGATTTGCAATTTTGGGAACACTTTTCTTGCCTTGTGGAATATATATTGTTCCCCTTTCACCTGATCGCAGCCAACCCTACAGTAGATATGGGTCTGAAGTAACCCCCAGAATCTGAATACATACCCACCTACATCTACAAACTTTGTAGCCTTTGTTGCTATCCAGAACTAAAGCACCTTTACACCGTACAATTGCTCAGAATTCACAAAGGTAACTGTATCAATGGTAAGAGTTCTTCATAAAGAAGGCATGTTGTATGAATCAGATCCCAGTTCCTGGGATGCCACCTACCTATATGAAAAGCCATGATTAGATACAAAGAGTTGTGTCTAAGACCTTGTCTACACTTACCGACTGGCACTGCTGCAATTGATGCAGCGGGCGTTGATTTAGCGGGTCTAATGAAGACCCACTAAATCAATGGCAGAGCACTCTCTGGTCGACTCCAGTACTCCATCTCTACAAGAAGAATAAGGGAAGTTGATGGGAGAGCACCTTCGGTCTACACAACATGGTGTAGACACTGCGGTAAGTCGGCCTACGCCACATAACTTGGGTCAACTTACCGCGGTAGTATAGACAAGGCCTCAGGCAGTTCTTTTGGTTCTTGGGTAAAATAAGCCCAACTTTGTTTTAAAACAAGCCTGGATATAAAGAAGTGTTTTTCAGCATTAAAATAAAGTATCGTATACAACTAACATTCCATATAAAATTGCTACCCATATGGGAAATATAAATGTACATGAATTGAAAGAATGAAAGGTTTATTTTCATCATCATTCAGTAAAAGACATAGTGCAACCAAATAAATAAATAGATAGTAGAAGTGATAATCCAAAAGAAAAAAGCCTCCAAAAAAGTAATTTTCACATGTTCAATTCTAGAATAATTAAAGAAATACTGACATTCATAAAAGTGCACAATCAAACTGTCGAGACCTCTTTTTTTCCAACTGATTGTCACTGGGTGACTGGGCAACAAAATGGCAGATGAAATTCTGTGTTGAGAAATGCAAAGTAATGCACATTGGAAAATATAATCCCAATTATACATACAGAATGATGGGGTCCAAATTAGCTGTTACCCCTCAAGAAATATCTTGGAGTCATTTTGGATAGTTCTCTGAAAACATCCACTCAATGTGCAGTGGAAGTAAAAAAATCTAACAGTATGATAGGAACCTTTAGGAAAGGGATAGATAAAAACACAGTAAATATGATAATGCCACCATATAAATCCATGGTATGTCCACATCTTGAATACTGTGTGCAATTCTGGTTGTATCATCTCAAAAAAGATATATTAGAATTGGAAAAGGTACAGAGAAGGGCAACAAAAATGATTAGGGGTATGGAACAACTTCCATATGAGGAGAAATTTAAAAGATTGGGACTCTTCATCTTGGAAAAAAGACAACTAAGGGGCAATATGATAGATGTCTCTAAAATCATGAATGTAGTGAAGAAAATGCATAAGGAAGTATTATTTACCCCTTCACATAACACAAGAATCAGAGGTCATGCAATGAAATTATTAGGCAGCAGATTTAAAACAAACAAAAGAAAGTATTTCTTCACACAATGCACAGTCAAACTCATTGCCGGGAATGTTGTGAAGGATAAAAGTATAACTGGATTAAAAAAATAATTAGATAAGTTAATGGAGGATAGGTCCAGCAATGGCTATTAGCCAAGAAAATCAGGGATGCAATCCCATGCTTTGGATTTCCTTAAGCCTCTGACGGCTAGAAGCTGGGACTGGACAACAGGGGATGGCTCACTCAATAGTTGTCCTATTTTGTTCATCCCTTCTGAATCATCTGGCATTGGCCACTGTTGGAAGACAGGATACTGGGCTAGAAGGACCATTGGTCTGACCCAGTATGGCTGTTCTTATGTTCTTATTGAAACTCTCCTAAAATAATAAATAGTTTAAACATTCAAATTATATGCTTTTAGTTGGGCTTGATGTAAGGGAATTCTGCTGACACATTTAAGTTTGGTACAACACTAAGGCCTTGTCTACACTCAAAGGTTGTACTATACCAGTATCTAACTAATATGTAACTATACCTGAATAGCTAAAGCTATTGTGTGGATGTAATTATACAGGTATAAAAGTGTCTATAACCATCTATTTTATTCTGTATGGGAAGGGGACTAAGCTATACTGGTATAAGCCCCCTTTAAATGGCATAACTACATCTATATTAGGAGTTGTACAAGGTATAATAGTTTCATAAAATGTCACATCACTGACCAAAACAATTATAGAGGTACAAAAACGGGGTAGACAAGGCCTAAGAGAACTATTCTTTCATCTTATCAATTTCCTATTGTATTTTATCATAGTGATGCAATGGAAATTCATCATTTTCTTAAATATTCACTTGAAAGGCCTCTTTATGTTTCTCTGCGTGTTTGAGATTAGTACACTGTCAGTGTATTTTCTAACAGATCTAGTCTTTCAACAGACATTAATTTAAGTTGGCTCTTAGGAAAGACACTTTCACATAAATATGGCCAATACTATTATCCTATTGTATCATAACGGATGGAAAGATGCTGTTTATGAATAAAACATTTGTTGTATTCAAAGAGAGCTATTGACACTCAGTGTGTGACATGCCGTTGATCCTCACCACAGCAAGGCTTCAGAAGTCTGTATTTGGATCTAAGTCTGAAACAATACTGCCCATTGCTATTTAAAGCAGTGCTTGCCTCCTTAAAACACCAGAACAAGAGAAAGAGATTGAAGGGAGGTGGGAGAGTTTGGGGAGAGAGATATGGGACTGGGGGAACTAACCTTAGACTTCATTGCAAACGTAATACTTGAGCTAACGTCCACTGAAGTCAATGGAAAGATTAATTGATTTCAGTGAGCACTAGTTCTGGCCTTCATACAGAATTAGAAAGGAAGCTTGCAATCCCTAATCTCCCCTGTACTACTGAATGACGTTTGTTGTGCTCATTAACCTGAATAGAGACTAATGGAGAAATTGACCAGAACTAAAGGAGCAACAGGTATTTGTACAAAGCCATTTATCTAGAAGCTTCATCCATTAAAAGCTGTGTCAGTTACGGAAGCCGGATAATATAAACAATTGTATAAACCAGCAAAACAAGAATTAATATATTTCAAAATGGTTGTTAAACAATAGCCCACTATTCAAAAAATGTAACTAACTTACTTCTCCTTGTGAGTTGTTCTTTCTCTTCTCATCTATTTCTATAAAAGGGAAAAGATTCAATTAGAGAAAAGGGAGTACCAAAAACTTGTTTTTTCCAGGGTAAATATTGTGGACTGTATTCTGATCTCAATAGTATTTCCACTGTAAATAAGGAATAACTCCACTGATTTACAAGTTTCACCTAGCCTTTGTCTGTCCTGTAGGTCAAAGAGATCAACACTCTCTAAACATATAAGTGCTTTGGCCAGATTTCCAGAAGTACTCGGCACTCAAAGCTCCTGTTCAGAACAATAGGCGATGATGAGCTCTTTTGAAAATCTGTCCCTTAGATTGCAAGCCCTTGGGACAGGAACTTCACCTTCTTTTATGTTTGCAAAACACCTAGTAGTTTATGGGTACAAATAGAAATTAATTAATAATCATTCATACCAGCTACAAGCTGTTAAATTGTTAATATAACAGCAAAATGACATCACTGAAGAGTACCATATAATTATACATAAAATTAGCAATTCTAAATATAATTATTTCTAAATTTACAGTTTAAAAGTTTCATGATAGCACACTGGTTTAGGGTCAGAAGTGACCACAGAGTGTTTCTTGTTATTACATAGTGCTGTTGGTTAATTTACATGGTATACACTGTCTCCATCAATGACCTAAATTTAGTACTTCTAAAGAAAGTAAATACCTCCTATAATTTATCTGTTACACTGTACAATGCTGTGCCTGGGATAGGAGGTCAATTGCATCCTAACACCTAGCTGCAATCAATTGGTCAAAAAGTAAGTGGTCAATCCTCAAGGATGATTCGCCAATTACTACACTATCTACTGGGCAAGACCTTTGATGCCACATAATTATAGAGCTCTAAAATAAAGTGACATTAAAATATAGTGCAACAAATCTCTCACCAAAAAGACACATGGGCCCCACCCTAAGATCTTCCATCCTAAGATGCCCCTGTGCACTTCCCACTAAAGTTTGGTGAATTTGTGCATGCATACCTGAAGAGAAAATAGGGTCCAGTGAGAGAGAGATTATTGTATCAGAGCCAGGAAGAATATATTTAATTAATTTATTTGTAGTGTTTTCTATGGTGCTCATCTCTTTGGTATCTGAGAACCGCACAAACATTAACTGATTAATTGCAATTCCTCCACATATGACTGCATAAGACATGCATTAAAAGTACTGATATTCCACTGTATAAAGGGTGAATTAAAACAGGCCCTAAATATTAGAGTTCATTACTAAAGAAGGGGGCAGCCTTGGGCCAGCAGATAGGGTGCTAGGCTTAGAGTCATGGGGCCTGTTCCTGCCATTGGCCGGTTGTGTGACCTGGGTAAGTTATTTTTCAGTTAACTATCTATAAAATGGGGATAGTGATATTTACACTTCTTCGTAAAGCACTTGGAGAGCTAAAGATTGAATCACTAAATAG